TCCCGGCTCTCTAGCAGGGACTGAAAAGGGGGTAAAAAAGGTTCTCTAGAACTAATTTAGTTCCTGGGACTTTTTGGTGTGAACGCAACTAAATCGTATTTCTCAGGAACCTTTGCGGGAAAAGTACTTGGTGTGAATGCGCCTTTAGATGATATATTATATATAATATATAATAATATAATTATTAGCTACTTAAGGAGACAACGATTAGATTGTTATAACGATACGAGTTCTTTCATATTTGTAGTTTTGGTTTATTTTGCAGAAAATCAGTCCCTTCTGTAACGGATTCATCACGAATTTGACATAACTCACTGTTACTGTATGTAAAGTATCAGATTGAGAAAACTTGGGTGCGGGTCAGTTTCAATCACCTTAAAATAATCTGTTCATGAGCATGAATAAATCTTATGCAACATTTTGTGTGGTTTACGCCAACAAAGATCAAATACTGAAACATTAAGCAAAAACAGTCAGTGACCTATAGCATCGCTGCAGAAACATGTCTGTAAAACACGGTCAAAGATCACGTGAATATAACAGACGGCCCCACAGCTTTAATAACTGTTCTCAGGCCCAGGAAAGCAGCTTGTCCCAGGAGAAATGTGGAGAAACACAATGTGACATACAAGTGAACTCTCCGCTCTATGATTTAACACAACTCACTCTTTCAACCTGTCATGTTGTGGATAGTCCATTTTTTGGTCCGTAAAAGGCATTTACGTTTTACTAATTTATTAAATCTCACGCCAGTTGTCCAATATTATTTGGTTGGATAAACAGCTCAACAACCTGGATGAGCAGTTGATCAACAACTTAACACCCTGGAGGATGCAGGATTTGACTCTTGACAAACATTAAAGATGCAACAAGAGTGCTTTTGACGCATGCAAGAAGAAACCCTTTGCTTGTTGAAAAAGATGTGTCTGTCCTAAGGCATTTGTAACTATTGTTTTACTGAGTAACCAATGTAATAGTTTTTCATTTCTATTTACGATGCCTCAGTTGAAACTGTTTGGAGTCACCCTTCAGGAATCCTGTGTTCAACTTTGAAAATGTCTGTACTAAAACATACTGGTGGTTTTTCTTATTCTAGCCCACTAACTATAAACAGTGTTTATCTTACTGTCTGAGCATGCAGGATTTCAGATTGGCTTTAATGTCAGGCACTGTTGTGCATTCATTTCATCATTCATTTCAATTTCATAAAAGTGGAGCTCAGGGAACAAATCGATTACAGGGAACATTTATCTGGCTTCATTTTTTGCCAAAGTTACATTGGTGCTTGATGACACTGTTTGAGCTGGGATTGTTTTGGAAAATCTCCCTTGAAAATGCTTTCGATGACAACATGTTTAATGCAAAAAAGCAACAAGCTCACATCATCATTTCCTTGACATCCATGTTTGGTTATTGTCTTTACTACTCACTGACTAAACTACATATAATGGCAATGACCAATAATCTGTGGACTTCTGTATAGTCTTGTAATTACTACTGCTATAAAACACTTATTCAATCTACTCCTATTCAAACTATTGTAATCAAATGAAGGCAGTTAAGGTCAAGAACATTACACTTCTTCAAAGCTGTCAAAACATTAGGACAAAAGACAGAAACCCCCCGAAAACAAAAAGCCAACGAATGTCAAGAGGAATTATTTTTTTAGATTAAAACTAGCCGATTTCGACTGAATGCTTAAAATGTCATACATCAAGTAGCACTATTCAAAATTACAGAGAAAAAAAAAAGATAGGATCCTTAAAGGAAAAATATTTATAGAAGAAAAAATGCTGTAAACATTGAGGAAGTTGAGTAGAAACATATTGAGTTTCTGCCTGTTGATATTATATCCAATGGCGTTTGTGTTTGGTTCGACTTGTTGCTGATGATGAACAGTCTGATGGTCCTGCTACTGTCTGCCATTTACAGACTTACAGTAAATTAGACTTTC